CGGGGAGCCTCGCCGCACAGCCGTGGGGACACGACTTCCCAGTCTGCGCCTCAGGACCCCTGCGCGGCCGCGCAGAGAAGGCGGCAGGCTTCAGATCACCTGCTCTCACCAGCGCCTCTGGGCGAGCGCGGGCCTGGGCTGAGGCGGCCCAAGGAGCTGGGTCTTCCAGGCCCTGCGTGACCCTGCTGCCAGACGGGGGCCCAGGGCGGAGGCCAGTGGCTCTTCACCCTGCTGGCTGGCGGGGCTGTGACCCAATCCTGAGCATGTAGGTTTCGGCCCTTTGGCCTCTCGGCGCAGTATTTGATGTTCAGGACCGAAGTGGGGACACCTGGGGGCGGCCGGGAGGAAGGTGCGCCAGCCAGGCCTGGCAGCCTCCTGGGCCCCGAGCCACGCAGTAGTGCTTCCTGGGTCAAAGGTGCAGGAGGCTGCTCCCGGCCCTCCCTGGTGGTGCGGGTTAAAGCTCAGCACTACAGAGGTCTCCACAGCCACAAGCGAGGTCAGTCCCCGGCCAGGGACGGACCCCAGGGCGCAGCAGGCCACCCCCCCCCCCCCCCCGTCTCCCCGCTGCCCCTCAGCAGTGTCTCAGTGGATCCGCCTGTTCTGCTCCCCGCTCTGTCTCTGGGGATCCTCTCACCCCACCCCTTTGCCTGCACCCCAGTTCCTGTGTGCATAAATAAACACATATTTAAAAAAAGAGGCGTAGGCTCCCCTGCAGTCAGGGGCCCTGGTGGGGGTGGGAGCCAGGTCCCTCAGTAGCCACTTTGGAGGACAGTCTCACCTCCTGGTGAAGCACCCTTCTCCCTTGGGCACCGAGAGCCATGGCCTCACCCTGAAACGCCCCAGGCGGGGAAGGGCTGGCTCTAGCAGCTAAAGTTGGTGGCAGCGTTGGGGTATAAGGGTGGACCCCTATGAGCTGGCCGAGGTGGGGGTTGGGGGGAGGCCCTGGCCTTGTGCAACTCCTCCTTCCGGGCCCGCCACGCCCTCTGAGCCTGCGCTCAAACTCGTGTCACTCAGAGGGCTTTGGGAAGGTTTCCTCTGTCTGAGAAGAAAAGGCCCCGAGGCCAGAACGCCCTCGCCAGCTCCAGCGCGTGCCCACACAAACGTGCCTCCACGTCCTGCCCTGGCCCCTCTGCACCTGCTGGCCCCTCGGCCATCGGCGTGTGGGTTCTCGCTGGACCTCTACAGGATGTTGGCTCCTTAGGCCGGGAGCCAGGGTGCTTTTGAATTCCTCGCTGGGCAGCAGCCCTGGGCACGAAGCGGCCCGGTCTGTTCGCGCCGCCTCCACTCACCCTCCCAGCACCCCCACGCCCTTGACAGGAACGCCTGACCGTGAACAGCCTTAGGATGACGTTGCTCTCAAAATGAGATGGTGGACAGAATCCAGTGTCTTTTATTGTGTTGCAAAGACTGGGGAAGTCTTAGGCAGGGCTGGCGATCACAGGTGGAAAAGTACCTTGGAGAATATCCAGTTACGCTCTCATGGCGTACTGCAAGAATCTTAATAGCAAACCCAGGCAACACCCCAAATCCGAACCCTGTGCCCTCCGCCCTGTCACAGAGCGTGAACCGAGGTCCAGCCCACGTCCCGAGGGTAGTGAGTGCTGAGCAGGGACTCGGTGGTCGGCCGATATTTCCGAGGATCACAAACATCGGGGCCCCTGGCCCTGCTGAGCTTCCAGCCTGGTAGGGAGACAGGACAACACACAATAAACAAGAAACTAGCAGAGCTGCAGGGGGAGGGCCCAGGAGCCAGGCTGAGCCGCTGCGGCCCTGGGAAGGCGCGCTGAAGGCGCCAGGGAAGTGTGCAGATCCAGCCTGCCTGGTTCGACCTGGGCATTTGAGCTCGTCCGACCCAGGATGGGTGGCCCCAGCCTCCTTTACAGCTCAACCCAGCCTGCCAGACAGACAGAGCTGATGTCCAGTTTTCTCCAGCTGCAGGGATGCACGACTTCATGCCCGAGGAGGCTGCTCGGCTGGGAGTCTGGCAATGGGCTGCGGGGCCGGGTCAGGTGCCTATTTACCCTTCAGGGTTTTTTTCCCTTTGGACAGCGCTGTGCCAGGCACTTGCCCTGGGCCTGCCTTTCCTTTTAGGTCCTCCGATGCCAGGTGCCAGGAAGCGGGCTATTGACTCTACGCTCCTGGCAGAGGTCAGTGCCTGCACTGGCAGCCCTCGAGAGGCCTCGCAACCTTCCCAGAAGGCCTTCCCATTCCACAGCGGATTTAGTCTTTTCTCATGTAAAACCTACCTTTTAGCATTACTATATGCCCAGTATTCCCCTTCCCACCCCCGGTGGGTGGTTTGAGGTGAAAGTAGCACCCCTGGGCTGAAGTGGGTCCTTGATAGGCTGAGGCCCGCCTCCAGGCGCCCCAGGAAGGAGGTTAGTTTGGGGTAGGCCAGGAAGCTCCGTACCCTAGGCACAAAGAGCCAGAATACCTGTCTGGGCCAAGTCCAGCCCCTCGGCCGGGGCAGGGGTGGGGGTGGGCAGTAACATCGGGCTTTCCCAGCAGCAATGAGCCTTTTGCTCCCACAGAGAACTGCAGCCCCACAGAGGCCCTGTGCTAGCGGACAGGCAGGCCAGCGGGACCTCACCCCACACGGGAGGCCCAGCCCTTCCTCCGAGGGCTCCTGTCCCCCACCCCACCTCAGGTTGCTCACATTCCTTTAAGGTTACTCGCTTGGTGCCAGGTTTTTCTCAGGACAAAGTGCTTGTCACCTGGGCGGGCCGTGGACCTGGGCGGGCCGTGGACCTGGGTCCTCCTCCCCGCGGCTGGTATTTTTAGACAGTCCTTGGCTGCCTTATCTAAGTGGCCCGAGACCTTGGTTTCTCAGTTTCTGCGACACCCCACAGCTCGCCTGGCTCCTAAGCCCGGGTGCTCCCAGTTCCCTCCAGTGTCCGGGCCCCCAGCTGCCTGCCCTCTGCTCAAAAGCCCCCTTTCATGATCGTCCTTTTGTCAAGTGAGACCGTATTTCTTGGAGCAAGTGCAGGCAAGTCCACGCTCTCTGAAAAGAGAATTTCGCTTCCAGCCGACTGTGAAATCCCTGCACAGAAGCCACTTCCTGTGCTGGGGGCTGGTTTCCGAAGCTGCCGGGGCCTCTGGGTCGGTAGAACAGCCTCTGTGAGGCTGACATTCATCTGTTCCCTGCTGACTTCCAGGAAGCGTCGAGGCCCGGAGGCCGCGGGCCGCGGCTGGATGTGGGGTGGACTCGGGCCGCGCGCGCCGCGCCCCTTCCGCGGGCAAAGGTGCGTGAGTCGCTGTC